TTTGTGTGTGTGCGTGTGTGTTTGTGTTTGTGTGTGTGCTCTGTGTGTGTATATATGTATGCGTATGTGTGTGTCCGTGTGTGTGTGTGTGTGTGCGTATGTGTGTATGTGTGTTTTTTTCTCTCTGTGTGTGTGTGTATGTGTGCGTGTTTGTGTGCTTGTGCGTGTGCGTGTGTGTGTGTGCGTGCGTGTGTGTGCGCGCGCGTGTATGCGTGTGTGTGTTTTTGTGTGCGTATATATATACATATTATTTATATCTTCTACAGCAAAACAGACGGGATCAAATCAACTAGTAATACATACGAACGAGAGTTCGCATGTAGACTCGCTGACGTAAACCGGGAGAAATTTCTGTCATATGCGTCTTATTCATATTCATCAATGTCAAGCAACCGAATGTCAAATCCTTGCATGAGATTGACTTCCTGTTTCGGAAGGTGGATGATTTTGAAATTGCGGGTAGACGATAAACCAATTGGCATCCACGCATTTGATCGCACGCTTGAACCTACCTAATCTACACTTTAAGTGACGGAGTTCTGTTGCTTTACGACCATCAATTCGGAGGCCCTCAGGGGTAAGAAATTCGATTCCTGCACCCATGATTAAGTAGTTTCGAACCGTTGCCCGTCCCTATCGCACTGTGCTATCAGTCTGGGGATATGAATATGTGGCATAGAACGTATATGAAATAATACCTGCCTCTTTGTTTATTCTTATATTTGTTATATATATTGTAGTAAATTATCTATTTTGTATAGTACAGGCAACTTCGTGCACGTGAAATATCAGATTCACAAACAGGGTGAACTGATCATTTCGGCCCGCCAAAATTATGAGACGGCCCGCCAAAATTATGAGAGATACGGTATAATTTAACCCTGACATTCCGACTGGAGCCAGGCCCCAGGCACCAGGGTCGTAGAGAACTAAGGATAAAGCTTATATTTCACACATTTTCTGTTCAATTTTTTGAAAGAAGGCTATGCATTTTCTAAAAAGCTCCTTCCACTTAAATCCCACCGCCACTACGCCTGCCTTTGTGCCTACCACAGCCTTTTTATTTCTGTCTTCGCCATATGACTAACACTTACGCCTGTCATGGCATATGTCTAGCGCTAAAGCCTGACATAACATATGCCAAACGCTGACGCCTGTCTTTGTTATTATGTATAACGCCTGCGCCTGCCATGCTCATATGCTCAACGGTAGAAATACGGCCTCCGGTCAGTCTAAAATATCAAGATCAATTGAGATAATACATTGGTTTTTATTTGCATTTTATAT